ATTCGAATCATCCCCTGCCTCGCCGACCTACCCAGGCCATCGAGCGCAGTCTCGACATCCAATGACCAGCGGAAGGATTCGACAGAAGTTCCTCTGGACGCGAGCCGTCTATATGAGCAAAACCTCCTGTGTCCTGCATATTGCCTCCTCGAGAGAAAACGCGGAGATGCTACCCTCATTCAGACGGCTGAGAGTCTTTGCCTGGAAGTTCGTCGACACCCAATGAGAGAGGACACATGATGGGTTAGGGTTGTTTGAGTAGTCGATGGCGTGGGGGCCGGCTCTAGACTGGCGGTAAACGTAGAGTCGGACGCGTTCTGGGGGCTTCTTTCGGGGGCACCGAACGTTGCGATGCTAGTCCGAGTAGTACTGACCAGTCCGGGTAGCTTGGGACCCTGCCGCCGCCAGTTTGAGGAGCCATTGTGGGATACCGAACAGGGGTGAAGAGCAGGATAAAAAGTTGGGCTTGAGATTTGCGTTTGGGATTCGTATTGTTTCTCGGTGTGGTCCTCGAAGTATATTAAGATGAGCACGTATCATTTCACCGGCAATACTTGTGACGACTCTTGCAGCTGCATGTTCGGCGCATCAATATTGCCTCTGCGTATTTCGAGACTTCAACAATGCCCGGGTACTACTTCCGGTCTGTAAGTTTCCTCGTATATCATTTCGGCAATGGCGTGTTGCCAGCTAGCCTTCTCGGTTCGCCCATGTCACCGTATGTGCATGTCTGTTTGTGTAACATTTCATGAGATCGACGACTCCATGGCAGACAAGAGTTGGTCCAAGCCGTGTTGATACAATGAATAGCAGAAGCTTGAAAGACGGAGCTGCCATGCAGCTAAGAAGCCCCCGGGTACCGAACGGAAATAGGAGATCGTACTCGAGAAGGCCAAGCAAGGGATGTTGCCGACTGCCGACGCGCGGCCGTTTGTCTTGGTTCATTGCGGACGTGCTGTCGACGAGTTGCGGAAGAAATTAACATTCCTGTCTCAGATTCCTTTCCAAGGACAGACAGCAAGTCTGGACTCATGTCTCAGAGGCTCTCGCGAAGTGTGCGTGCCTATTGTGACGCAGAACGCGATCGACTCCTGTCTTCGTTCTTTCGATCGAGATCCATCAGCTGTGCTATGGAAAGGAACAAGAGGCTCATGGAAATGCCGACACACGTGATATTCAGTAACGCTGTTCTTGGCGTGCGAAACAAGGTGATGGATGCTCATAGCCTGATCCCCTGGAGGAAAGATTATCAGATTGATAACATCTGATCCTGTGATCCAGGTGGACCCAGACAAGCGCGCCAAGTTAACTGAGATATTGGTCCTTGGTGGGTTAACGAAATGAATGCAGGATCCTTCAAAAATCGCGATGGGCCAGCTGCCAGTTTTGTGGAACAACAACGGCTTGAGTAACCGTCGAAGTCCCCGGAAACGACGATCGACGGCCGATGTGTGAACGCTTCGTGGACAGGTGGTGTCCAGGATGACATGAGGTGGTTTAGAGTTCCCCGGACATTGACATTGGCCAGAATTTCTGGCTGCGCCTGCGCCTGCGCTGCAACGTCGAGTGAGGAAGAAACGACAAGCCCTGCAACTGCAAATGCAGGGAGGGAATAGTTCCCCGGCGCGAGTGGAAGCTCGAAGTGACGGTGGTGCGTGCGTTGTGTTCTTCTAACTCTCCCGAGCCGCGCCGACCCCGAGACCACTGCGGATTCCGGGTGCCGCAGGCCGTTGGATACGGGAGGACAGTCCTTATCGAGCAACGGCGGGGGCCAATCAATAGTCTGCGGGCACGATGTTTAGTGCGCAGCTCCTCTGAACCCCGCAACTTGCAAGCCACCATCTGTCTTTCGCCTGCCTGCGGTAGGTAGTGCTGGAGGTCTTGAACGTTCACGGGCTGAATGAAAGACTGCAGGCGTCGGATAGTAGCTTGCTGAAGCCGGTGCAGCCAAGAGTCAGGGTTTGGTCAAGCCTACGGATAGATGTTATGCAGTATCTGCGGTTTGGCTGTAGGTGTGGTGTGTATTCGAATGGCGGTGAGAGTGAGTCATTGGCCGCTAGCAATGGCATTGTGTTGGCCGAATCCCGCTCTTGGAGATGGGATGGCCCATGATGGAGACTCAAGCAGAAGGATCGGGTTCCCGAGCCATACGATGCCCCAATGGGAAGGTCGACTGCCGGTAGTGGAATAGTGCAGATTCGAGAGTTGAGAATTCAGCTCAATATCCGTAAGTCCAACCGAAAGGGCCTCGCGAGCGATTCGGTTCTGACAGGACGTGTGTGACGGACAGACGATTGAGGGGTGCTGCGCTGATCAGCCGCGTGATGGTGGGATAGCGAATCAATTGAAGCGATTGGTGTGGTTGCGCAGGTCATGAGGCTTCAGGGTTGTCATCCATAAGTGGTGTATGTGGTATTCTGAAGACAGAGGCCTTGGTGGCGCCAAACGTTGGCCGAGTGGATATGCAAGTGAAGCAGAGCACGCAATGGAGCGTATGGCGTGCGATTCAGGTCGATTACGATGTCCCAGGAGAGTCTGAAGGTGTGGAGGGACCAAGGTAAGAAGGCAATTTCATTTATGCCGATTCTTGAACGCCTATCGGCATGCAGGCGAGATGGTTACGGCGAGTGGGGGGATGAAGGCGCATCCAGGGTCGGTCCTGACGTTCGTTATCTTTCTCCCCCGTGGCTCATGCTGAGGACCAGGACGAGTTCGAGAAAGTTGTTGAAAGTCTCGTCTTGCAGGCGGCCGTTGTGTGCGACGTGTCCGAAGGTCTGCGTACGACTCGAAGAGTCATTTGAAGAGGTTGACGTGATTGGTCGGCAACGAACGACGTCGGACGACGAGCCATGCTGTAGTATGAGGCTGTGATGGTCGAGTCAAAAATTGGCTTCTGACAGCGCAGAGATGTTAGTGGCGGCGGGACTGCGGATGTTCCTGAATGTTGGTAAACCTTGAGCCTCGTGGCAGGTTTTAAAGCAAGAAGCTAGCTTTGCAGTACGTCTCGTTGAAGCTTTGGACTAAGAGGTAGACAGGACAGGAGACGGCCTGAAGCTCGTAGCATTGTCCGGCGGTAAGACATTATCGACAGTAGCAGGACAGCCAAAGCAGGCTAGGTAGGAGGTAGGAGGTAGCGCAGCGCAGGTCCTCAATGCCAAAGCGTAGGGTAATGAGGGTCGGATTCCCATCAGGTAAAGTTGAGGTAAGGAGACCCCATCGAGGGCCCGAATATCTGAAGGAGGGCTTGGCTTGAGACATCATACTGATATCATCTGTGTTCTCTGGGGATTGGTCGCAAGCTGTTGTTGAAGCATCTCGTCAAGGTCCCAGGGAGGCTCGCTGCTGCTGACACGGTTGCTGGCTATGCCGCCGTTTCCTGCAACAATAAACACTGCGACTAGCCATGGAAACGCGGTGAGTTGGACGTTTGAGAGACAAGCATTTACCTGCGAGAGCTCCAGGCTGCCGGGAGCGACATTCAAGGATGCATTGACGGGAATCGTGATGGTTGTGGTTGTGTTGGAGGCGGAAGTGGTGGTTGGCGGGTGGAAGGAAGGTGGGAACCTGGAAGGTGCTTCAGGCTTAGCTCCACATCCATGCGACGTTTTCCATGTGCACAGCGCATCGCAGCAAGCTCTCGCAATACAGCATTACGATTGCAATGATGCTGCTGCCTTTTGCTTTTGCATTTAATATTTGACGTCTTCTCGCCCTTTCCATTTCTGCCTTGATACAAGTACGTACCGACTCGGCTGGTACCTACCTAGGTAGGTAGGCAGGTATCTTACTGAAATTTCTCATTTTTATTCATGATGATTCAGTTCGGTACGTACCGGAGCAATGGTGGGGAAGAGGAAACCGAGCTCGCCGACATGGAAGGTGCTCGGTCGTCATCAAGAAAAAATAAAAAGAGGAAAAGGAAAAGAGATGCCTTACATCATCCGCATCGACAAAATGGAGCGCCCTTGCGCACGACATTCCAGCAGCAGCTCATTTCGTTGCTCAGATATGGATGGATCTTGTCGCCTAGGTAGGTGCCACTATGGCGGACAGCAAGTTAGTGTTTTTAAAGTATCTCGAGCTCTCCGCAGTTTTAAAAGCTGGACGCTGCAGTCTGTTGTCTGTTGCGCGTTATCGCCAGACGGATACGACGTAGAATCGCACTTTTCGAGCCGGTATGGAGCACATGCGGTGGAGGCTAGAAGCACTTTTGGAGAGCGTTCCTAGCGAGCATATGCTTGGCCCTGTTGCAATTGAAGCTTCCCACTGGACAGACGCCTGCTATCGCCGTGCAGCTGGCGGGGACACGATCCTTGATGTTTGGATGCACCCTGGACCTCCGGGCTGCATCTGACCTTGCCGTATGGATACCTTAGCCTGAAAAACGCTGCTCACTGTGAGAAAGGGAATCCAGGTCTGGGTCTAGAGGCTCCGCTCGTTGCCGTTGCAGCGTCGTGTTGCCATTGCGTCGGTTGCTGAGAATGAGCGTCCACGAGAATCCCTCCTGTGCCTGTACTTCGTATGTGCCCGTGCTATGCTGCTGCTACTGCTACTGCCAATGCTGATGAATACCGCTGCCAGCCCAAAACTGTCCTTCCCCCAAACTTTATCTTCGGATTCTGCAGCAGACGTTCCATCCGTCCTTCTCACATCCTCCTACCCTCTCTTTCCTTTTTCCCTTTTCTTGTTTTTTTATTCCCCATCCTCCGTCGCTTGCCGCCTAGCTAGCTGTGTGTAAACGTCGGCTTCTTGATCTGCTGAGTTTCTCTCACACGGCATCCTCCCTCTCGACCGGCCGAGGTGATAGGCAAACATTGTTTTGCTCCCTCTCCAGAAAGTCCGACGTCGGCTCCCGCCACCGCTCCCTCGCCCGTCGCGAACCGATCCGAAACCGCGTTACACTCTCATCACCTTACCCCAACAAGCTACCATAGCTCGGCCATTGATCGCTTTCTTTTGGGCGTTTCTCCCCGCCATTCGGGAGTGGGGCAGCAGCAAACATGAGCAACTTCGCTCAGTGTAGCTGGCCAATATGGCAGATCGATGATCTTACGCCGTGTTTCCAGCAGGAGTAAGTCATTCTTGAACCAACCAGCTTGACGTCCAGTGCCTTGTCTTTTCGCATCCCTCCCGGTTGTCCTACCGCCAGCGCAGCGCATCCCATCAAAGCGCACTGCAACACACCACATTCTACCACGAGCCTCTCAACCACGCCGTTGCGCTGGGAACCTACGCCTGATTCAACGCGAATACTGACCGTTCCTTCTCACTAGCTACCTCAAGATCCTCTTCCCTCTAATCGTCGTAGGACTATCGCTCCTCCATCTCTCTATACAGACCGTACAAAGCATTTCCAAGAACCGCAAGCATGGCTACAAGCAAGTTCCCGAAGAACATCACCATTCGCATACCGATATCCCTCCCGAAGAGACCGCCGATGACGAGGACGACGATGACGAGGCGCTGACCATGAACGGCGGTGGCCGCTTGGCCCTGGTCAAAACCACCACCAAGGGCTCCATTGTCCAGGCCGACAGCCCTCAGGGCCAGAACCTGTCCATCGTCGTCGAGGAGCTGGCAATCGCTGGTCTCATTGCTATTCATATCATTGGTCTGGTCACGGGCAGTGTTTCCGGCGGACACGCTCTCATCGTTACTGTCGTCGGTCTCGTTCTCTGGGTATACGTCGCTATCCTCGTCACTCTGCGCCTGGTTTTTGGAAACACAAAGTGGCGGGTGCCGCGCATCTGGAACCATACGGCCTTCATCTACCTGTTCCAGTGGCTTTTCACCGTTGCCATCTTCCGCTCTGTATTCGTTCATCCCCCTGGCCAGCTCGTCCAGATTCTCGTCATCACCGAATTTGCGTTGACGACCCTGCTGTTCGGCCTCGCCGTGACTACGAGGAAGGGCAACAAGACAGTGCTTCTGGAGTGGGAAGATGGAATTGAGCCGTCTCGTGAGCCTCTGGCTTCTCTCTTTTCCTTGGCCACCTTCTCCTGGTTTGACCCCCTGATCCTGCGCGGCTACAAGGAAACTCTGGAGATGAAGAGTGTCTGGAACTTGATCCCCAAGGAGAAGGCTGCCGCCGTCCTCGCCGACTATCGAACCTTGAAGAGAACTGGCGCTTTATCGTGGCATTTGATCAAGTATTTCAAGGCGGAGCTTCTGGGCCAATTCGCATTGGCTGTCCTTGCAGGTATTTTTACTTTCGCCCCAACCATGCTGCTCAAGGCCATCCTCGAGTACGTAGAGCACCCTGAAGGTGCTCCTATCAACGTCCTGTGGTTGTACGTGATCCTGCTCCCTGTCCTCGACATAGTTAGGTCTTTTGCCGACGGTATGGCTCTCTGGATTGGCCGCAAGATCTGCATCCGCATTCGTGCCATCATGGTCGGTGAGATTTACGCCAAGGCTCTGCGACGCAAGGCCGCTTCAGGAAAGGACAAGGAACTCGGTATGAAGAAGAGCTCGGGTGCTGCAAAGAAGGGCTTCTTTGCCAAGATCAAGCAGAAGCTGGGATTGTCCAAGGCCGACGATGCTGAGACAGCCAACGGTGCCGCGAAGGATGCCGAGAAGAAAGAAGATGAGCAGGCTAACCTGGGCACTATCATCAACCTCATGTCCGTGGACAGCTTCAAGATTGCCGAAGTCACCGCCTACCTGCACTTCATCTGCGCGTCCGCACCGACCCAGCTCGTCATCGCGATTGTATTGCTTTGGCAGGTGATGGGACTGAGTGCCATCCCCGGCCTCGTCGTCATGGCTCTCTTGCTCCCCATCAACTACAGCTTTGCTCGAGGCTTCGCCAACACGTCAAAGAAGATTCTGGGTGCTACCGACAAGCGAATCAACGTGACCAACGAGGTCCTGCAAAACATTCGTATCATCAAGTACTTCGCGTGGGAGGCCAAGTTTGGTCGCATCGTGGACGAGAAGCGCGCCAATGAATTGAAGGCGCTCCGATCCCGCTACATCATTTGGTCGTTTGCGGTTGCTGTTTGGAACTCGGTTCCCGTCCTCATTACCTTCTTTTCCTTCATGATGTACACGCTCATCGAGAAGAAGCCTCTGTATCCCTCCGTCGCGTTCACTGCTATCTCACTTTTCATGCTTCTCAGAGTTCCGTTGGACCAGATGGGAGACATGTTCGCGCACGTGCAGGAGACCAAGGTTTCTCTCGACCGTGTCGAGGAGTTCCTCACTGAGGAAGAGACCGAGAAATACGACCAGCTCGGAGAGGACAACATCGACGAGAATGGCAACAAGGTCATTGGCTTCCGAAAGGCGACGTTCATCTGGGGAGGCAAGGATGTCGTTGCGGATGATGGCACCTTGGCTTTCCGTCTCTTGGACATGGACGTCGACTTCCGCATCGGAAAGCTCAACATCATCGCAGGACCGACCGGCTCTGGAAAGACGTCGATGCTCATGGCATTGCTTGGCGAGATGACACTGGTGGATGGAAATGTTTACTGCCCCGGAGGCCGCAGTCGTGAGGATGTCAGAGCCGACCCTCAAACAGGTTTGGCGGACACGGTTGCATATGTCGCCCAGGCTGCTTGGCTCGTCAACGCCAATATCAAGGAGAACATTCTCTTCGCCGCCCCTTACGACGAGAAGAGATACCGAGACGTCATTGTTGCTTGCGCTTTGGAGCGTGATCTGGAGATCCTCGATAACGGCGATGAGACCCTGGTCGGTGAAAAGGGCATCACTCTGTCTGGTGGACAAAAGCAGCGAATTTCGCTTGCTCGCGCCATCTACTCCAACTCTCAGCATATTCTCTTGGATGATTGTCTCAGCGCGGTTGACTCTCACACAGCGCAATGGATCTTCAACAATGCTATCAAGGGGCCCTTGATGGCTGGCCGAACTTGCATTCTCGTCACTCACAACCTCACCTTGTGCGCACCTTCGTCTCACTACATCGTTACCCTCGAAAACGGCCGAATCGGTGCTCAGGGCCCATCAGGCGAGCTTATCGCGTCCGGCAAGCTCGGCGAGGAGATTCAGAAGGCCGCCATCAACTCCGCTTCCGTGTCCCGGATTCCATCTCGTGTGCCATCCAGTGTCGGCGAGGACGGCTCAGAAACAGTGGTCAACCCCGGCGATGAGAACACAACCGATGCTCGGTCCAAGAAGAACGACAAGAAGAAGAAGGAGGCAAAGGATGCCATGGAGGAAATGAAGGCCGAGGGCTCTGTCAAGTGGCCCGTCATCCAGCTATACCTGTCGTCCATGGGTCCTTGGTGGTTCTGGATTGTCGCTCTCAGTGTCTTCGGTCTCCAGCAGCTCTCGGGTGTCGCGACCAGTTGGTGGGTTCGATTGTGGGCTCAACAGTACCTGCAGACGGAGGAGCAACAGGTGACATTCTCGACTTCATCTCACAGCTACAGCTCCCCATCGTTATCCCCTACTTATTTCGCCACCTTTGCCAACTACGGAAACCGAATCAGCTCAGCTTTCCAAACGACAGATGACTCCGACGTCAACGTTGCTTACTACCTCACCGTCCTGGCGATCATCGGAGTCGCCGGTTCAGCTACTGCGTTCATCAGAGACATCTGGGTCTTCTATGGCTCCTTGACTGCTTCCAAGAAGATCCACAATGACCTGATTTCCCGTGTTTCAAGGGCCAAGTTCAAGTTTTTCGACGTCACGCCTTTGGGCCAGCTCATGAACCGTTTCAGCAAAGATCTGGAGGCAGTGGACCAGGAAGTTGCTCCAATCGCTATTGGCGTTTTTGGTTGCGCTCTTGGCATTCTCGTCACCGTTGTTTTGATCAGTGCCATTACCCCTGGATTCCTCATAGCCGGTGTTTTCATTACTGGTGCTTACTGGTTCGTTGGCTCATTCTATCTACGAGCTTCCAGAGACTTGAAGCGTTTGGAATCTGTCCAGAGAAGCCCTCTCTTCCAGCAATTTGGCGAGACTCTATCAGGAATGACAACGATTCGTGCCTATGGCGATGAGCGCCGATTCATCCGGGAGAACTTGACAAAGATCAATGTTCAAGCTCGTCCCTTCATCTACCTCTGGGCAGCTAACCGTTGGCTGGCGTTCAGAACTGATGTTCTTGGCGACATGGTCTCCTTCTTTGCTGGTGTCTTCATCATCCTTAGCCTAGGCAATATTGAGCCTGGTCTGGCGGGTATCTCTCTGAGTTATGCAATTGGTTTCACGGAAAACGTTCTTTGGCTGATCCGCCTATACGCCATCAACGAACAGAACATGAACTCTGTGGAGCGCATCAAGGAATACTTGGACGTTGAACAAGAGGCTGAGCCCATCGTTGAAAAGAACCGCCCTCCTGAGAACTGGCCTAGCCAAGGATCTGTGGAGTTCATCAACTACTCTACTCGCTACCGCCAGGATCTGGACCCTGTCTTGAGAAACCTTAGTTTCAAGATCAACCCCAAGGAGAAGGTTGGTATTGTCGGAAGAACCGGAGCTGGCAAGAGTTCGCTGGCATTGGCTATTTTCCGTGCTTTGGAGGCCGACGAGGGCAAGATTTTGATCGACGACATCGACATTGGCTTGATCGGCCTGCGCGACTTGAGAGAAGCCATCACGATCGTGCCTCAGGATCCCACGCTCTTCATGGGCACCATTCGTTCCAACCTGGACCCCTTCGACGCATACACCGATGAACAAATCTTCGAGGCGCTTCGCAAGGTCCAGCTCATTGGACCCGAGGAGTCGACGACAAGACCCGCGACCCCTTCCGCCTCATCGATGCTGCCGGCGACGCCCAACCTTGCTCTGCTTCAAGGTGAGGCAAACTCCAGCCCGCCCTCCTCGATCGCGCCGACGAACAAGAACATCTTCCTCAACCTCTCCTCGACCGTCTCGGAATCCGGCTCCAACTTGTCGCAAGGCCAGCGTCAACTTCTTTGCCTTGCTCGAGCCCTTCTGAAGCGCCCCAACGTTCTGGTCATGGACGAGGCCACCGCATCCATTGACTATGCCACCGACACCAAGATTCAGGAGACCATCCGCGAGCTTACTAGCACCATCATCACCATCGCCCATCGCCTGCAGACCATTGTGGATTACGACAAGGTGCTCGTCTTGGACAAGGGTGCTGTTGTCGAATACGGCCACCCGTACGAGCTCATCCGCAAGGAGAACGGCAGCTTCCGTGGCATGTGCGACATGAGCGGAGAGTTGACTTCCCTGCTCAAGGCCGCCAAGAAGAAGTGGGACTCCGGAAGGCTAGTCGATGTTGACGACGACGAGGACAGCAACGGCGAGAACAGCGCCGCGAGGACAGCAGCCGACGAGGCCCAGAGATCCACGGAAGAGGCGAAGAAGAAGGCCGATGAGGACGCTAAACAAAAGGAAGAGGAGGACGCCAAGAAGAAGGCTGAGGCCGAGGCCGAGGCCAGGCAGAGAGCAGAGGAGGATGCCAAGAAGGCAAAGCAAGTAGAGGAGGACGCGAAGAGGAAAGCGGAAGAAGACGCTAAAAAGACGGCCGCGGATGAAGAAGCGGAGCAAAAGGCCAAGGAAGAAGCGGACAAGAAAGCAGCAGAGGAAAAGGCAAAGGCCGACGAGGAGGCCAAGAAGGCTGGCGGAGGTTAGGAGCCATATCAGGATGACTTCGCCTTGTGTACTATGTCTTAGCGTTGAGATGGGTTGGCTTCTTTCCCTTCCCCCAGCGTTGTGTTTTTAATAGGTAGACAGCAGTTTAGGTGCAGTAGATACTTGAATTTTCTCTTTGTCCATTCATCATAGGACCGTCTGTCGTGCTGTGACGATGAGAAACCCTGCTTCAGAGCATGCCTCGCTAAACTAGTAAAATCTAATGGGCTCCTCAGATGGCGGTTATATTTAAGACACCATTTACCAATGCGCGACGTTTCTGCCCTTACCGAACGACAGACGATGATGGCAGAACAAGCTCTGTCCAGGAGATTGGCTTAGTCACATCACTAAACATACATGTAAGGCCTGCGTGGCAACGGGCCTGCACGATCATCCCCAGAGTCGACACGTCCACGTCTCTGTCATTGCGGTATTCATAAAGGAATACACAAGGAGACCTAGACGACAGAGGCGGCTGGCTGGTGGTGTCGGTTGATGCAGTGAAAGTGAGCGGACTGGCATGTCCTCGTGTATTAAGGTGCTGCTTATGGCGTTGTGCAGCAGCCATCAATTTGAAGAGGTAAATGCGTGCTAAAACTGCAATGCTGCGAGATAAATGCGTTGGGATCTTCTGGTTTATATACTTTCCAGGTTATCTTCGAGTCACGCGGATCGGTGGCTTGGGGTATGGTACTTGGGAGAATAGAACTTAGGTATTGTCGTTTCTGTGGAGAAGGACTCATGGGTCGATGTTGCTGGGGGTATTTAAGCCTAGTAGATGACGCTGGGGTGTAGAGAGGACAGAGAGAACGCAATGTCTCGCCAGCTTGAACAACTCGGACGCGAAAGCTTCACGAGGATGTCCAGGTTGAGTCGGAACTCGGCTCCCCGAGCGCCTATGTTGGTAAGCAGCTTGCCATGTACAGCTGGAAAGAATGGACACGAACATAGTTTGTATTACTTTTCTTTTCTGGAGTTATCCTGTGGGAATAGGTAAGAGGCGAAGAAGCCAGGGGGGGATGAAGACTGGACTTGGATTCTGGCGGTAAGGCCCGAGGCCTAGGGGGTATTGGGCTTGAGGAGGAAGTGGTGGGTGATGCGGGATGCCATGGAACCAAGTGGTGTTCGACAGCATTAACATCAGCTTGCTGGGTGCTTGATATCTTTCCGTTTGTTTTGAAGTTTATATACTTAGTGTTTAGAGTCTAAAGGGTTATGTTTTTGGTTTTTGGTGTTTCTGGTTGTGTTCAGGATAGAAGTGAGACTCGGGTGGTTGTGGTTATGCCGCGGCTCGTGGGAGCCAAGGCAGTATCGAGCGTAAGGGAAGTGGTATTTAAGATGACGCCTGGCTGGAGGATTGAGCTTCGCAGGGCACAGATGATCGTGCTACCATGTCACTTTCGCAGCGAGCGTAACGCACCAGTCGTATCGACAATATTCTGCCCGCTGAAATTATTGGTGAGAGAACTTGCTGGTTTGATTCTTTTTGTAAGGGTGTTTGAGAGTACGTTTCTACACTATTCAACGAGAATACTTACCCAGAGACAAAAGTGATGGATAGCATGTCTGCTACGTTGAGTCTTCAACGACAAAGAAGCGAGCTTCGAGAGAAGCCAGTGCCGACGAAATCCTCGTGTCATCATGGGACAAAAAGCACATCTTGCGCTTCTTCGTCTGTAACGTCGCGCTCTCACGTTGCTAGGTCCCAGAAGTTTTCACTCGTCTGTGCATTAAGTGCGGCGGACTCGCTCGTTAAACATATTACTTTTTGATCACGCGTGGTGAGTAAAATCGAAGTCTTGGTATTGTTGTATCTCTGAGGGTCGATATTATAAAAGTCGCCCTTAATCGGTCTTGGTTGTTTACGACGAAGAACGCTCTTCCCTACACCGTTCTGGTAGCGGATGGTTTTTGGGTGTGCTCATGAAGTAAGTGGATGGGCAGAGTCTGACCCAGGACGCAAGCTGGACTACTGGTAAACGTATCTCTGTAGTATCGAACTACATTTGTTTCTGCGTGTCAAACTTCACCGCCTGCCGGGTATTCTCAGAAGAATAATCAAGGAAGAAATATGAAGACCAAAGAGTGTGGGTTATGTTGCTGATGGAAATGGCGTTTCGTTGCAAGGGGCACGTCGTTCACCTTGGCTTGTGACATTGTTTTCTGGACAATAACTTCAAAACACCAGTGAGATTCCCAACGCTCATGGTCCGCATCTCTCACACTTCGCCAGATGTGTTCCTGAATAAGATCCAGTCAAGCCGCGAAAGCACGACCTTCGTTATTTGGTATAAGGCTTCACAAAGTACAATAACAAGGCTAAAGTAAACGAAAGTCTCTGAAATGATGTATAGAGTGAGGCGCGCACAGTAGGCGGCGGGCCTACTAGGAATTGTGAAGTCGGGATTCCGCTACGACGTAACCAGAGTGAATCAACAGTCTCTTGTGCTCAATATTCCATGGATATCTCCACATTCAAGCAGACAAAACCAGCATTTCATTCAGTGATCCGAGTTACGGGAAAGAAAGCTCGGTGTTCGAACTTAGGTGCATGGGCGGTTGATGACGCAGTTGTTGGTGGACGGACACTGCCTTGGGCAGTCCCATGAGGTAATGCTGTCGACACATCGTGTTCCTTCGCAGTAGCCAGCCTGAAAACTGTTTTAGCACCCGAGCAAAAGTTCAAGCCACATCAAAGTTGATATATACTCACGCTGACTGCGGTGGGAAGAAGGAGAGCTGCTGCGGCTATAAAGAGGTTGGAGAGACGCATTTTGAGGATAGATCGTTGAAAGAAAGCTTTGGTTGTAGAGTTGAAATCAATCTTGGGGAATGAAGGTATGTTGAGGAGTGTTGTGAATCAGTTTTCTCTTGTTGAGAGGGGACAAGTGACTGGTTCTTATACTGTCATATTTCTACGTTCTGATGGTATTAATACTAAGCCAAGGATTGATCACTATCCACTGTTCCTCGAGTTGTAACTGAAGTACAAACTTTGATATATTAGTAGTTGAGTCAAACTTGAGGGAACGAGAACCTAATGCCTCACTACCCCGGCAATTCACCCGGGAGGCTCCGCAGCCGTTCCTGGGCAACTCCGTGTTTGCGCCTATCGCAGTTCTGGCTCATCATAAGCACGTACCAATGGATGTCTCCGCTGGCTAACCAAAGTTACACATATCCGACGGACTGAGTGAGTACCCAAGGAGTCCGAGTATCCCGGAGTTGGGGCTACATTATGCTCCAAAGTAATGGTCGGCTATTGCCTGTATATCATGAACACTGGCCCGAGCCTAGCATTGATGGTACTTTTGCTGTTATTTATATGTCTTTACCCTTGTATCGAGAAACCGCCATAAAGCTCATTCAGAGCCGGGAACCAGTTCATCTTCATATGTCTTTACTATATTGAGAACTAACACGGGATACAAGTGCTTTCATTTTGGAAAGAATCGTGAGAAAAGAATCGGGTAAGCCGCCAAAGCTACTTTAGAGAATACGGCACCAGTTTAGATAAATACGGAGTCACTACTGCTTTGTTTCTCTAGAGAACCCCAAAAATCCAGATTTTCCCTCTTGCAGCCGATGTCACAATTTGCGAAACTGGTCCCTGCCACATCCAAGACCGGATGTGCCCGCAAGATGGGCAGTCCTCCCAAGAACAGTCACCACCCTTTTCCTCCATCCACTCGCCTGGGACATGCAGCGGTGGATTTTCGATCGCTTCCCAGAATTCTCCAGGAAGACTATCTGCATCAAGCTCCCAGAGAAGTTGCCAGTCATCTGGCTCAGCGCCGTGCTTGAGACCTGCCAGCCGTAGACCAGACGAGGAAACCCCAGAGCAGCGTTGAGTGTTTTCGATCCATTGCCAACAGAAAGGATCCACTACCTTGAACGTTCTACCTTGATCTGCGGCATCAAAGCCGTGCGAGTCGAACCACCGCCGGTGTTTTAGTGGACAGTCTCCGAGATACTGCTCCAACTCGTGTGCGCCATAATCGATTAGGTTCAACCCTGAAGAGTGTACATCTTCCAACCACATGCGAAATACCTCGGATAAGTCTCTGAGCTTTTGCCTCATCTCAGACTTTGATCGAAGTGCTGTCCTCCAACCATTCATAGCACAGTACAAATGAGAGGCCAGCCCCGCCCATAAAGGCGTGAAACATTCGCCATACCACGTCGAATGCGATACTCTGCTGAGCTCTGACGGCGAAATCTCAGCAAAGAGCCATCGTGCGAGTTCGCGCCAGGCATGGAACCTATCATGGGTGTTCTTGTCACGATTTGACACTCCCATATCTCCAGATGTGACAATATCATAAAAGGCTCTGAAATACTGCTCAGCAAAGCATACTAAAGAGCTATCCAGGCGCCCTTCAAGAGCTTCGCGGAAGGCTTTGGCATCCATGCCTTCACCGTGACGCACGTCCTCCAATAGAATATTGGGGTCGAACCATAGCCAACTAAAGCTACCGTATCGGTCTCTTGGTGAAAGTTCGTAGTACGGAACGTCTCCCCTCCTAATGATGAGTTGAGCAAGTCCTTGCCATCTCCACATACTACACAGTAAGTTTCTTAACTTGCTTTGCTGTTGCGCATGTATCTTAGCGATGTTGAAATGGTTTTCAATGTCGTCGTCAAGCTCGCCGTTATCGATGAAGACTTTGACTGTGCTCACTGCGCGGGTTGAATTCAGACCTGAATTATGAATCATGTCTGATGGCATCCGGCCCGCGTTGTCCACGTCTGAGCTTAGTCCCATTTCGATGAGATTCTTAGCAATTTCGCATTGATTGGAACTCGCCGCTATCTGCAGCAACAACGAAACGGTCAAACTTTAGTTATCTTGATCAAGGAGATTAAGGACATAATAACATACGTGTAGTAGTGACATTCCACTTGGCGAGCGATCAAGCAAGGATGCTTGGCCGCCATTCAAAGCCTGGAGAATACTATCCCACGAGCCTTCTCTAACATCTGTGAAGATCTGGGCATCCCAGGGACGGGTATTCCAAGGCTGGATGCCAATTTTCCATCCCGCATAGGCTCTGGATGCTTGAAAATCCCAGACTCTCCCTGAGATCCACCATGGAAGCTGCAGGCGCGCTTGGTGAACTTGACATGTATGTCAGTAGAGCTTTCGTGAAATCATGGGGAAATACCCACCCTCGTATCCTGGAGAAGATGTCTTTTCGTAGATAAAACCACCAAAAAAAGATGCTTTTGACCATGGAAGTGACCTGGCTGCTAGTTGACCACCGCTATGAGGCTCAGGAGCTTTCTTGTGGCACTGTGCTGTATCTGCCTCATCTGTCTGCTCGGTCAAAACCACCGACGTCGATATTTGTTGAACATAGTAGTCCCTGAATTCCGCAGACTGAGACTTGGTAATTGCACTCGAATATCTTAGCTCTATTTTCCAAGACCTTGGGTCGCTTGAACTCACATCAGGTAGGTCTGCTGCGACAGAGCGAGTAGATTTAAGGCAAACTGGATCCTGTCTTGGTAGCTTCGAATCAATTCCTTCTTGAACGAGACTTTCAGCTTGGTGATGTTCCGCCGAGTTCTCTTTGCATTGTTGACTTGAGACTGTAGGTCTTCTGCTAATCGGCCAAGCTCCCCCACAGCTTGCTGGCAGTACTCCATGCTTAGATTCGCGGCACGGTTTTCGTGGACCTTATGCGTTTGCTGAACGAACTCATCATTCATCTCTTGTAGAACCGGTCGGAGCAGTTCGAGCTGTCGGAAAAGCTGGCTGATCTCGTTCGGTACGTCTTGAACTTCGTCCCAGAGCTTCTTCAACTTTACGATACTCGTGCCGAACTTGCTCGCCATCTCGGCGACCGTGAAGGCGCTCACGACGACTCCGAACACCTCCGCCATTGTGTTTTCCGGTCGGGGCTGCTGGCCTTGGAATCAGGCTGGCTCGTAAGGTTGGTACGCGTTCACGTGAACGCCAGAATCACATCCGACTATGCGCGAGGACCAGTCAATTACCGGAGATGTGAAGTGTACCAGCTGGTCGTGAGATATCTGGCCAGGTTGCGGGGTTTCGAGTGTGCTGTTGAACGGGAGGAGTTGAGGGCACACGAGAAACCGCAGCCTGATTTCCACATGACTGCGATCTTACTTGCATATGAATTTATACCATATAAGTCACGAGCTAACGAGCCGAGAAGGAGCTGAGCATGGATAAACTGCGATTTTATTTGCTGCGGATCACCATACTCCAGCCCAACCGACCCAACGAATGAACATGAAGGACACGCTGCCTCTGCCTAATCAGTCTGAACATCTTGAGCACCTTCGGGAAAGATTGAACTAATCATACATAAGGCACGAAGTCACTTAAGTATAAGCAATGGTCAAAGCCACGAACATTCGTTGTAACTAAAAATTTCCGTGCAAAGAGGTCCATCACGATCAGTCTAATAAGCCTCAGACTCATCCGCCCCGGCCTGCTTGCAGTAGTACAACCACTCATCACCACCAATGTGCCCAGCAGCTGAGTTGCAGGCCTGAACGCAGTACTTGGGGTCAGAAGTTTTTCGGACTCCCTGAAATTGAGACTCGTTAGCCATTATGTGCCAGTCAGATAGACAGATAAGATCATGGAGGTCGGAAGAACTCACCATGGTGCAGTCGGGGCATGTATCCCACTTGTTGGTGCCCGTGTTGCGAGCTTTATACGCAGCGCATGCCTTTTCGGTCGCCGCCGCATTCTACGTAGAAGTGGGATTAGTATCAAGGAACCATAATCGCGCGTCGTGTGGTGGAGGAAAACTTACATCACCGTAGGCGCGACCCATGATGCGGCTTCGTCTGAGGTTGACGGCTTCATTAGGGGTCGTGTCCCTCTTGCTGGCAGGGCAGGTGTTGGGGTTGCCGATAGGTTGGATATGGCTGTTGCATGTTGCGTAGGTGTGCAAGTCGGCCACGACGCTGATGAGAGGAGAAGATTGATTAGTATGGATTTGCGCTCATACAAGCGTGAAATATCATGAGACTTACGCGGATGCGCTGGCAAGAGCAACGAGGATGAGTGAGAACTGCATGATGAGAGGAAGTGGAATGTTTGTAGAACGAATGAAGTATTGAGAGCGAGAGGCTTTGTGTTGGGTCGACTGGAATATGCTGGAAAGGTGATGATCTGACAAGTGAGAATTCTGGATGTAGTCACAGCAAGTTGAGCTTCTTCTTATACTTGGGGTGCTCAAGTCTTTCGCTATGCTCAAGAAGTTCCCTTTTTCATTTCATCAAGTCTGCAAAGTAGGCTCAATCAGCGGCTCGCTTTCTCAACGTCGTTCTATTGGTGGCATAACTGACACACGGGATGACAGCCGCACGTTGAGAGGCTCAGAGGTCGAAAGAGATATTCCCATGTCTTGATCAGGACCGAGAGTTCATCGATTTGAGTTGGAATCAAGATTAATCAGTGCCACGCGACTCGCAGCTGCTTATTATTGTATAATCGATTTCGTTTGAACTTGAGTGGAACTGATGTCGGCGCGGGCGTATCACGAGGCATTTCAACATCACTTTGAAGCCGGTCTTGGCTTTCCTAGCATATTCTTAGACACCTCTTAAGCTTAGCTATCTTCCTCCACGTTTCCTGGACGAAAAAGCAATATGTATGTTCAGGCATTCTGCAAAGCTTCTTCTTCATTAATCGCGTATCAAGCAATCACAGCATCCACCTCCTGGCCCCAAAGTCTTGGCTTCTGCATCCCCTCCCGATGCCTCGTAGCAGTTAAAGATAGAACTGACAGCTGTAGCTTGCACACGGGCCAAATGTTTTAATGGCCCAGCAGAATCTTGCCTGCCGGTGACAAAGCTGCCGGCACATGATCCACGAAGGAGAAAGCAACATCCCTGCTGGCCACGTTTGTCTTCGGATTCGATCCCGCCAAGTCGATATCCGCGTTTTCGCTTCGCGTGCTCATAGGCCGGGCCCTAAGGCTGAAACCATCTGAAGTCGGGATCCAAGTGCATCTGAACCACGCAGGACTAGGTTAAGCATAACACAGACTCAACGTGCTGCCCCCAAAAGTCTGTCTCGGCTCCAGCGGGAGTAGATTAATCGGACTGCTTTCCCGGTCCGCAAGAGATGGTCGCCTTGTATGTTTGCAGATCACGCTACCTTGCGAGTCTAGGCCCTACGGGAAACTACGATTCATGAATATATTGTTTTGACCCTAGTTCTGGGGATAGGACTCCTGGTGTTCGGGCTGTGTATCTGCCATGAACAACATTGGCAGCTCGCAACGCAGTACAGCAATCCTTCTTTCTAGTTACTCTATTCGAAATCAAGCCATAAGTAGCGCTAACACGTGTTTTATCTGCTATGACAAGCAACCCAAGCTCCTAAGAGGGTCCTTGGATGTAGCATCTCGACATGGAGCTATCGGAGAGACATAGCTTTGACAAATGTAGCCCTATTAATCAACTTAACACCTCAATTCATTGCAAAATCCGGTCGGCATTGCTTCTTCCTTCGCGTGACAAAGACCCGCGGGCGCGGCGCTATTGGTTTTGGACTCTTCCAAGTCTTCGATAGAATTCCAAACCGGTAATCTAACTAAACATGCAGGGCTAATGCAAGAGATGATTCTCATGCTTTGGAGAGGCTGTAAGTCAGTGGTTCCTGTCTTGTAAATTGATGGTTGAGATACAGTGAAAATTTGTTAAATGAACTGAATGAATTTCGAACAGAGTGACATAAGTACATGTAGGTGGGAAGCATAGCTATAGACCATCAAGCAACTCACAACTCCATATGTGTATCCCAAAGATAAATAGAGACGCTTCCCTCTAGCATGAAGGAATAAGAACCATTCTCGACACATCTTCTACACTCAACCAACACTGTCATTCACTCGATTTCCTCTCATCTATCACTTAGGAGCAGCACCATCCTCTTACAATCTTTCAAAATGCAGTTCTCCATTGCCCTATTGTCCGTCGTTGCTTGCGCCACCGGGTATGTGTTCGACATTTCCTCCAATATCTATCTCAACACATAATGGCTAACGAAAGACAAGCGTCGCTGCGAACTTGCACCTCTACGCATACTGCGCTGACCGCGTCTTCGAGGGCATCAACGAGTCCAACCCTGAGGTACGCCATCACTTGAATTATGACTTTCAATTCATGACATTCAAGGACACACTTACTAAAATCCTCGCCCGCAGAACAACGACGCCACGCAGGTTGCTTGCGACAAGTACAAGGCACGCAACACCGGCACCCAGCAATGGGACACGTGCCCCGACTGCACCACCGTTAGTACTCGAAGACAATTCAAAGTACTCGTTGCTGTTCATGTTTTGCTAACTTCCTATCAAGAGCTTGCGCGGCGATGTGCTGGTCTGCAACTCGCTTGCGAAGCACATTGGCGGCGACGAGTGGGATTACTACTGCAAGAACTCTGGTGCCGATATGGGCAAGGCTAGCTAGACGGTTTCAACGATAGATGTTCTGGGTTACGCTTGAGTGTGGTTTCCAATGAAATTTTCAATCTTCGCTTGACTGTCTTCGTTGACTTGGCTTTTGCTATGTGATCACGCAACTTCTGGCTCGTGTCATATGACGTTCAAGACCAGTCCAGCTACATTGGAAGATTCCAAGCAGTAATGAACCGACGGAAGAAGCTCATGCAGTAAGAAGCGGATTGAACTTAATGTATGCATCAAGGTTGATGGTGGATCACGCATCCCGCCGGAAGTTTTCTTAACTTTATTCTCAGTATGTATAAAAGCTATCAACGAGTTGTTTTCAAAGTCTGAACTTTTGCTCCATTCCCCAAAGAAAGCGTGAGAGAATCCGAAGTCATGACGCGTTACGATAGTCCCGACGACAAATTATTGAGAGAAGAAGAGCGGCTTTTTCGTGACTGGCTCAAGGGTTTAGGATACTCTCGCCCTGCAACCCGTGCCGATCTGGGCGAGTATGAGTTCACCGTCAAGAAACAAGTTCTGTTATTCGAAAAATCAGGCTCCGGCGCGCTTTATGTCGAATCCCTCATCAGACGATTTCCCGCCTCGGTGAGCTCGAAAAGGCTGCATATCAAGCTCCCGCCGGAGCTGTGGCTCGACGTCCTGGACTACTGCTCTCTTAAGCCGGACTACGTCCTCGTCGTCCCGCAGAGTACCACTCCCGACGGCAAACTGGTTCTATGGGAGGTCCGAAACCGCCAAAGGTGCGGATACATGCGCCGGGAGGACCTATTTCGGTACCAAGCATGTTCGGAAATTTCCTGCCTGTGGTCTTACATATTCAGTTACCGTTGGTATTTTCGAATCACCAGGTCTGGCAAGCCCCCAGCCGAGGAGGTCTTTGAGCTCGACCTGGCCTACCTAGACAGCAACCCGGGGGTTCTCCTTACCAGCATCACGCACCAGGATGTCATCGCGCGGGTGGAAGGGGGTGATTGCGGCGACTGCCTCGGAAAACGGGCGACGACAAGTGGTCGTCGTCGGGGGCTGCGGCCTTGTTCACGCTGTACCGGCTACTACTTCGCAAAGACCCCGCGCGACGGGATGGATCCTGCTTGGGGGGTAGTGAAGAAGAAGTGTGTGACGCTGGGATATGGCTACGAGGTGTTTACTGCTTGCGGCCTCCCGGTGCCGACTGATAGAGATGTGGACAAGCGTTTCTCTGGTTCACATGTGCGGTGCAGGTGGAATAGGTTGAGAAGCTTTTTAGGCCGTATCTTCACATAGCTAAGGTGTTCTTGGTTCTCACGTTCTTGTCGTATTAGGCCTTTGAATCCAACTGCCGCCGCATCTATTCTCTTCTAAAACATCATAAGCTTTGCTGCTACTATGGTTCTAGCACCTGTGTGAAGCCTTCCAGGTGTTCGCTGCCTGTTGTCTTTGTAACGGAGATTGGTCAATAGTTCGTGTATAAAACCAAGTCTTAGGCAGGTTTATAGAAGATATCGCTCCCTCCACTTGGATGCAACTCCAAATTCGCAGCCAAAATCCCAACATGAAGCCAGTTTCTCATCTTCGTCTCGACGACCTGGTCGAGCGGAAACCGGTCCTCGTCCTCAACAAACTCGCGCTCAGTGCACGCTATCTCGAATCCCTCGTCCGCGAGACCAACAACATCATACGCCCGACCAACGGAAACACCACGTTGCCCCTTGAACTGTGGCTCGACATCGTGGAAATCGCTTTCGAGCAGTTGGCGTTTTCCCTCGTCGTGCCGGAGGCCGTCGAGGGCCTCGACACCCCGAACCCGACGCTCGTGTGCCGGGAGTTTACGGAGGCGCAGGAACTGGGCTGCTCCCGGATTCATCCCGCCGTCCCGTCTACGGTCTCCTGGTGGAATGACTACTTGGCGAGCTGTTCTGGGTCTGGGGGACGTACCCTTCTGCAAGCATTTCGTCGTCCCTTTTCACTACCAGACAAGAGTTCTCCAGTGGTACGGATAGACACCCAGTGCTTGAGATCGCGCCCGGGTGTTCTTTTCGACGACGTTGACGTGGCGGACGTCATCGCGCGGGTAGAGAATGGCGAATGCAGGCTCTGCGACGGACTTCGCTGGGTATGTCACGACCCCGAAGAGGAATATCTGTGTCCGCTCTGTGTTGGCTGGGAATATACGCGGCGCACCCAGGAGCTCGAGCGTATCATGGAGTGGATCGGATTCAACGAGGAATGTCGTAGAATCCAAGCCTCGTGCGAAGAACGCCTCGCAGAGCTGGGGTATCGGAGCGTGCCCCCATGGAGACTCCCTCCTGGGACGACAACCCAACGGAGTGTTCATACATTGGGACGCTGGAATGAAGTTGATCCAAGACTACTACATAGGATGGAATCGTATGTTATAGCATACCTCCCCCTTACACTATTGGTACTTGGGATCGACTCGCGCTTCAGGAGATGGTTATGCAGTTGAAGCATAGAGCTGAGGGTTACTCAATAAGTGTTCCAACTTCAGTCGCGGTCATTCGTCGACTACCTACCTGCACCTAGAAATGAGAAAGCCAGTCCCACGGGAATCCAAGGTCGTGATGCTCTTCAGGCATTCCTGGTGGTATCTACATCCTATTAAATCAATATTGACTACTGAGAAATCATGCACAGGATACGGTCACATTTCCAGCTTTTTCTTCTTCGCTGCACTGCTGATACGTGGCGTCGGCAAGGTGGGTGAGAGCCTCAAAGGGGGCAACGACAAGGTTGGCGTCGGCTCTGGTGGCTTTCGAACACGAGCGTCTTATTGACCAAACCGTCAACGTCTGTCGATTTCCTGGAATCTTGGCGTAGATGTAGAGTTTGCGCAAACTCAGCTCAACTCAGCTCTTCTTAGTGATCTCCTGCAAAGACGTTCGAGGTCCTCAATCAGCAGCCCAGAGAAAGCTGACGAAGCGGCCCAGTCGCCGCATACCTCAATTTCGGCCCGGGACAACGATAGCTGATATAGAAAGGGGTGTTTTCGGTCCGCCCATAGCCACAGGAGAGATATACGTGTACTAATAGACGCTGGTCACGGCCAGCCCAGGTTCATCGCATTGAGCAAGTGGCTCGAGCGACGTCTCGACAGTGGGACGATTTTCCTGCGACGAGTGGCTGTGAGTCGACGTGTGGAGATTGTGTGGGGCGACCAGTGACATTGCACAATGACGGCCATCTGACACCTGACTGGTCAGACGCGTGTTTGGATATTTGCCAGCCAGTTAGCGGTCAATGAGGCACGTTACCGCAGGTTGTGGCTGAACACCGTCCACGCAGCTGCCGTTTTAGTGAGGTCCAGTGTAGGGGTAGGGGTCTTCCCCCTCGGTGGATGCTGCGCCGCTGGGCGAGGCTGCCTCCACTGTCAGGGCCACCACCCACAACGCACCTCAGCACACCGGCCTCAGTCATGGCCAAGCCCGACGTCCACTGGATGCAGCAGAGATTCCTGGGGCCTGGAACCTTGGGCTTTTGCCCAGAACGAACGGACGGCAAAAAGCCAAAATAACACCAGAACCTATCGATAATTCCCTTTCTGCCTGCGGCGTCACCCCATCCCTTCCTTCCCTTCCTCTCTGCATCCATCCTTTCGCTTTCGTCCTTTGTTTTGTTTTCTCTTGTTCTTGTGTTGTGTTCTTCACCCTCATCCTTGAGGAACGATTAACCAACCCCACGCCTCTAATCATCCTCCTCCTCCACTCACCTGTCCATCTCTCCGCACTTCCTCCGCAACACCAAAATCCAAAAATGTCGATGCCAGGCGCCTTCTCTCCGGAGCTGCCTCCCTCCAAACCGGTCCCCAGCGACGACAAATCCTCCAAGGACCCTCCAGCCCTCCGCCTCGACCAACCTGCCGACGCCTACTCCATGCACACAAATGACCCCTACTACGACGAAGCCTCCGCTTCCTCCTCCACTGCAGCCCTCGACCTGCCGCCCTCCTACACCGACGATCCCTCGTCAACCGACGTGAACCCCTCCGCCCTCCTCGCAGACGAGTCCGCCTCCCCGAACCTCTTCTACAAGGAGGCCGAAACGGGCTACGAGATCCACCTCTCAAAACGTCTCGACACAGACCCGACCTACCTCGAATCCCACATCGCCTCCCTCGCACAACTGCCGCCACGGCCATATGTTCGCGTCCGCGGCACCCACTCCGAGTCCGTCCGCAAGCGCGACGATAAGACCGAGAACAAGACCGTCGTCGACTTCGACCTCCGCCTCGATCTCACGCCCTTCCTGTACCGAGACATACAAGCCCGCCAGTCCTGGCGCGAGCTTCGCACCGCGGACAACTTCCAAAAGGTCCGCCGCGGCACCGTCTTCCCGACTCGTGCTCCGGGCTTCGGCGGGTCGTCGGCCGGCGGTGTCGTCGAGGGGAGTAAGCCTCCTACGCTGCGGGAGTGGTGCCATCGCTACTGCGCCTCGCACGCGGGTCTGAAGACGTTTACGCTCTCGCGATTGGTGACCGGGTTCGATGAGGACGAGAGGTTGAAGGGGCGGTTGGAGGATCTTGTTCGGTCGACGCACTACCGGGGACGCATCGACGTGAGCTTTCCTGTGCAAGATGCGAGGGTCGATGTATACAATGCGTGCCGCGTAAACCGGTGGCGGTACACGACCTGGGTGCGTTGGCTCTTCTACCTGACGTTCCTCTGGATCTTCGCCTGGCCGTACCTTTTCTTCCGAACCAAGCGATACGAGGTCGTGGAGGCGGAATGGCCGTTCTCTAGGCGCAAGAGAGATCCCCAGACCGGAAAAGTAGTCGGCAGAGAGTACGTCACCGTCTCCGAGGATCAGTGGTACAACATGTGGGCGAGGGCCATCTACCGCGGCATCATGGAGAGGCGGCAGGGCGAGCTGGACCAGCGGGACCTCAGAGACGCCGATGGACGACAAGATACCAGCTTCGAGGACGTCCTCGCTGGCATGGACGGGGAGACGACGAGAGGGCTCGTCAGAGCCGGTGTGAGCGCGATGAATGTCGTGAACCGGCACTTTGGCTGGGGAGGTGATTGCTAAGCGTCGTTTCTGCTGTTTTCTTCGGTGTTGGTTCTCCTCTCACGACTTTTGGCTGGAATGATTCGGTTGGGTTTTCTTTGCTAATTCTTCATGTGTTCTTGGCTGGTTCGGAGGGTGTCTGCTTTTCCTTTGCATTTCTTCATGACGGACGATTCCCAGACTGCACGTATCATGATCCTTACCTGCGATTTCCTTCAGAATACCCCGTTTTGCATGGGTAGCGAGGCCGAAAAAAATGTTGTTAGCTGAGAAATTACAAACAAACACACCTTACTCATCTCTTTCAATCCGAATTCTCCGGATCTGCTGAGCGATATGAAATGATTGACATTCCGTGAAGCAGCAGAAGGACCTGATGTGCAACAGAGTAAGATACTAAGAAAGAAACGACGCCGCAGCTCCCGTCCTAGGGTTCTAGGGTCCTGTGGAGTTCCGTAACATCCGCTCGGTGTCCCCCCGCCGCAGCCAGTTACCTTAGCTGAGACCCCTTCGGCGTTATGTAATCTAGGTAGACCCCGTCCCGACAACTCGGGCCGTGACCTCGCCATCGAAGTGTTCTCGCCGCCGTTACACCGAGAACCCTCTCACGTTCCACATCCTCAAGAAGAACCAGAGAAATAATGACAGAAGTGACGAACCCGCGTCGAGTCCTCGCCGTCTCGCTGGCCGACTCGACGCAGCAGCTCAGCAGAGTCATCCAAGGTACGTCCGAAAAGCGCTTATCTTATCGTCTTTCTGCCCCGCCATGCCCATCGTGTGTGTGTGAGTGAGCTCTCATGACGTGTGGGAGACGGCATGCGACATTACTTCCTTTCTTTTTGTGAAGCCGTGAGCTGCATATGGACTGACGCCCGAAACAGAACTCACGGGCGCCATCCCCGAATCCGCGTCGACCTCGCTCGCCGGCACAACGCACGTCCTGGACATCAAGACCAGCTACTACACCGCCCAGGTGCCCATCTGGCTGGACCTCATCTCCTCGCCGTCGGAATGGTCCGCCTCTTTCCTGTCGCCCGAGGCGAAGGAGGTTCTTTCGGTTCTTGGGGGTTTGGCTATCGTCTTTGCTTTACCGTCTCCTACCTCGGCAGCGCCGCCCGCTATTGAAGCTGCGGATCCGGTAGCTGTTCCGGCCCCGGCGGCACCGTCCGCGGAAGAGACGCGCACTCTGATCGAGGAAGTCGGCAAGGTCGTCCGCGAAGGACTCGGCGGTTGGGCGTGGGACGGCGTCGGGCTGGGTATCGGCGTTGGCGATGGCGATTCGGAGGAGTGGGAGGAGCTGTGCGCGGAATGGGGGCTGGAGTTCGTGCAAGTGCGTGGTGGGAAGAAGGATGAGGGGCGGAACGAGTTTGGAGGTTTGTTTCCCCTCGTCATTTGGGTTGTGCTCTGTGACCCGCTCGATCACGGGGAAGACAGTACATTGTGTCAATGGTTCAGTCGACTAACAAACCTCACAGAAAAAATGGGCATCCCCAGAGTCCGCGAAGCTCTGGAATCAAACGACTGGGCCGCCGACGCCGGACCGGACGTCGACTCGGATCTCGACGACATCGAGTCCGAGCTAGCGCGGAAACCGAAACCGCTCGCGGAGGGAGACGACAACGACGACGAGTTCGACTTTGACCCGGAGAGCCTGGACTTCGGCTTCGACCGGTCAGACTTTGAGGGTCTGAAGAAGGCGATTTGGAATCTCGAGAAGGAGCAGCAAAATCAGGATAGCGATGGTGAGGATGAAAAGGAGAAGAAGAAGACGGAGGAGGCTTCGGCGGATAAGAAAAGCGCGGACGAGAAGGAAGGGGAGCTCGATGCGGAAGAGGTCGAGAAGTTGGAGGGTATGATGCGCAAGTTGCAGGCTGTGAGGGATATGAGCGCCGGGTTGCCCGAGGAGCAGAGGAAGAAAATGGCGAGGAAGGCCGTGGGCGAGGTTATGAAGGACTTGTGAGTCTGTTCCTTCGACTCGCAGAGTAAAAAGTCCATTTATTTGCGATATGCCTCATGTGGGAAGGCTTACTTGGCTGGCGTGGTTATGATTCTGCTGCGTATTCAGGACCTCGGCATATAAAGGGGGGGCAAGAAGGCCGCCAAAAGTGACCCGTGCTTCCGATTACCACATGTTGCAAGCTAGCGGTGGCAGCTCGCAGTGAACACGGAACTCAAGATTCGAGCAGACGGGACATCAAACCCGGATCCCACCCGAGCCATGAACGCTTGATGTAAGAGAGCCATAGCTTCGCCGCAGCGTTTTCGTTGGAAAGTGGCAACATGTGTAAATCAACAGCCTTGAGCGCGGAATCTATCATCAATCAATATCCCTAATATAAACTGAGGGGCAAGTCAGGGACTTGTCCAGACAGGCGACAACAGTTACAGGCGAGTCCTCTTTCATTTGTTTTAGTGACCAGCGGCGGTGGTCAAATCCCTGGCCGCCAACAGTGTAAAGGCTTGAACTGGCCTGTGTGCAAGTTAACTGTTGACGATGCACTTGATGTGACCCATGAATAAGACAGAAATACCAGAGATAAAGGATCATGACGGAGATCTCGAAGGGATACGGTTTTGGTACTCAGGCGTGCCTTTGAAGTTTCGAGGCTGGTCTCAAGCACGTCAACTGGTCTGGATGAAGTACCCTGCGGGAAGCACAGTTGCCCTCCAGCTGGACAAAGCCCGAATTAGGTCGCTGTGACGTTCTCCGTTCACCGGTAGCAAACCGTTGCTGAAATATATAGTATGCCATGCCAAATGCTCTCTCGACGTGATAGAAAAGTTGAGTCCTGCGGAAGCAACTCGCCCCTACGTCTTCACTACGTATAAATTACAGGATCCTTCTCTGAAGCTTCCGCGGTGCTTCAACGGCTGATGAGATGTCGAATTTCGTGACCTGTCGGTAAAATCGATCGGGTCTCCTCCTAATGATCAGGCCGTGACCCTACCTATCCCGTAGGGGCCAGAGTCTTGGTTTTGAAATGTTCCTCAATCTTCACACCTCTGCATACGCACTGAATACGTTCGAGACGAAGGAGATGCCAGATCACGATAGAATGCATCGTAGCCAGAACGAATCTCGTCACAGCATCCACGTAACCTGACTCACTGCTGAGCGAGGTGTCTGGTTGATAACGATTCTCTGTCTTTAATTGACCGTGTCCCCTTCGGTTGTATGTTCCGAGCATGTCTTCATAGTTGCAGTTTCAACTGCGATTCCCTGTGATTGTCTACCAGAAGAAAGCGTGACCTCACCGTGCCTTCATCTCAGGATCTTCTCTTTAGCTATATAAAACTCGACGTCTTCCTCGGCCTCTGAAACCCTGCTCAGCTTCAATACTTGCTGCTTGTCCTTTGGTCTATGTTTATTCATTTAAATCACTCATGTGATGCTAAATGAAATGAAACCATATGGTACTGAGCGTGGCAGCCGCCTGCAAGAGGAAGCCTCTAGCTTTTGTCATCTCCAACGTCCAGCTTCGCCTTGATGCTATTCAGAGGTTATTCGGCAGCTTCTCAAGAGGGAAGGTAAAGTGTCTGTCGTATGAGTTGAGAGACATTTTGGCAACTCCTCAAGAAACTCAAGTATCTGCGGTATGAGGGAGGGCTACCACGGCGATGTGGTGAGATTGACCACTAAACCTTTTCGATAGAGTCCTGGCCATAGCTGGATGACTTAATATAAAGAAATTGACAATGCCCCTGGCATAGAATCAGAACAGATGTCGAAACACGAGCGCGGCCTAGTTGGTGTTCCAGGTCCTAGCCTCCGGTTGGAATAACTTCGGGAATTACACATCATGTCTGCTTTTACACACTACAATCCTATAGACATCACCTTTCGCACGTGGCCCAAAGGGCGCTTCATACGACTACTATTGGCTATAATAAGGCTGCCTGGAATTAATTTGGACTGTTATTTTTTTTAGACCAAAGCAGCATCATGTTGACGACCGGTATTGTTCCAAGACTGAGACGACAACAGCAGGACAATCGCACCACCCCCATCAAGTCACCCTACCATCACATTTCCCGAGCCTCAGGAAAGCGCAAAACAACTAATACCCCGCAAATAAGACCAATATAACCAAAGATGATAGAGATACCGAACAGAGGACGGAACGAAATGACCGTCACATCAGCAAGAGTCGTTCTGCGTGCGGCGGTAACAGCGAGCGACGACTGACGCCCCTCGCACTTTCACAATCGCCAGTTCACATAGTTCAGCCCCGATGTCGGCAGAATAGACCTGGCGGTTAGTTCCAAAGCCTAAGCGTAGAGCGTACAACGTTCTTTATTTCTCAACAACCTCTTAGTGTACCGACATGATCGTCCCAAGACAACCCACATTTTCATTTGGCTTGCAGCTCACTATCGGACATCGCGGCCTTATATGAGATGTCGGATGTGACCATAGACTGCTTCCAGCCACAGATGTCGAAAGAGTCGTTCTCCCACGAGAAAACGCCGCTCTCACTCAGCAACTCTGCATATTCATAACTGGTTTCGACAGCGCGAAGCAAACCTTGGGTTAACGACGAGGCAACTCCAGACGGGAGAATATATACATCACATCGCCCGCAGATTAACAACACGATAATAAGACCAAGACGAAGAACGGCGACGGTGATCAGCAGTAGTGAGCAAGCACATCCTCAAACCTCCAGCCTCAAGTTTCAACTCCCGCTGGTGCACCGTCAACGACAACCGGCAATCCGGTGTATACGTGCCACCACCGACTTGTCTTTCGCGTCGACCAGTCGTATCTGCCCGTACAGACAAAGAAAGATACTCGAAGTGCAATTTATAGCCCATTGCCCGGCACCAGGTAGTGCTCACTCGACTCCTTCCCAGGACGACATGTACCACATCACAATGAGACCCCCCATTGCAAAGAAGACCGACGCGGTTATTTCCCATCATGCTTCCGAGGAAGTCTCTAGTAATTGAACCCGATCTCACTCAGAAGAACACCGAAGTGCTCCAAACACTTACACTACCGCGCTGATCGCGGTTCTAATGCACTTTCGATAGAATACATGAACAAGAGGGCCATACCGACATATCCCCATCGCCCTCACCGTCCGCTCACGACCGCAACACTTCGTCGCCTTCACATACTAAACCGCCCCAAATGATCAATTTCCTTCCATCGTCCAACCACAAGGCCTCACCCCAAACGTCAGAGATCTGACGGACTCGCTGAACCTCTCACCGCTTGGCCTCATCACGTGTATCACTCACTCTATCCGGATATACCAACTCACGATTTGAATTGTCCAAAGCCTTGCGAGGCAGACGGAGAATTGTCGACGGTGAGGAAAGCTAAATCGTCAAGACGCGCGACAGTGAGAAAACTCAAAATAGTAAGACAGCCGCGTTTCCCGCAAACTTCGGACGCTTACTCCCCGCATCAATCACGTCAAAAACCTCACTCCCGTATCCCACCGACCTCAACCCGTCAACCTCCTTCCCAAACCAAACAACCTCCCCAAAGCACCACCCATCTCGCAAACCATGCAATTCCCAAAGCCCCTCCTCCTCACTCTCACCCTCGCCTCCGTCCCCGCCCAGGGCTACGTCATCACAATCTTCGACGGCAAGGACTGCGCCGGCGCCAGCAAGAGGGTCAACGTCTACGACAACACGTGCCGGGACGGCGACGTGCTCGACACGGCGTCGCTCCGCGTCGAGACGTACGGCGCCCGCCTCCAGAAGGCGGACGTCTACCCGTCGCACAGCTGCGGGACCGTCCGGATCGCCTCGTGGGCCGCCGACGGCGGGAGCGGCGGCCCCTTCAGGCAGGGTGACTGTCTCAATCTGGAGAAGACGGCCAGGGCCTTCGGGTCGCGGAGCGGGTGATTTACTGTGGTGTTTGTGTTGATGGCAGGTGGAGATGGTTGCTATACGGATTGGAGAGTTGACTTTGATGCTGACGATCTTACGATGGAAACGGGGCGTCACGGATTGTTCTGATTTATCTCTGGATAGTGGTGTGTAAGATATTCAGTGAGTTGAAAGTCGCGGGCAGTCTTCAACGGATTTTATTGGACTCCGAGTTCGGCAGTAGTCCAGCGTTTAACTCAACTGACTAGAACGACGACGGAGCAATCATGTGAATTAGTACCGATAGCAAACCGTCACTCTTTATCATCTATCAATCAATTTCAAAATGTTGTCTTGCAGTTCTAGTGATAGACTTACCGTCGAGATTCGCCCTGTGCCGGGTTCTTGGGCAGCACTAGCTGCCAATGAACGGGAATCTACAGTGATACAAGGCAGCATGGCACTTTGCCGTCCTCTCGGCCACACAAGGCGGACTGCAATGGACGACTCCCGAGTGCCTACATCCGATCTTGGCGGCATCGGGTCGGTCTCGGCACCATTAATACAAAAGTTCATGCCGAGCACCGTCAGCATTTGCGTGTTCGTCCCATTCTCGGTAGGTTCCGAGGATCTCGACTTCGTGAGAAGCCCCATCTACTATGAGGCGCAATGTGATGCCAGCTAGCGCCGTGCTCCCTCGAAGTTCGGACGGTCTAGTCGTTTTCGAGATACTCTGAGAGCCATGTGTGCTGAAAGGGCGAGTCACTCAGAAAACGCCATCCCAGCGGCATGTAATATCGAAAGGTGGTCCACGACGCATGTAAAGGAGGGTTCGACGGACCGTCGATGTCGGGAAGCCGGGTGCATCATGTAACCTGACGGCCGAAACCAGTCGTCACGACGTCTTTGGTTAAACCTCGGGGCGAGGTCGAGTCATTGCTAGTCAGACGGGTTCGAGTCGTTCAGGTTGGGTCAGCCCGGAAGCAAAGAGACTGGCCCGAAAGGCCCCATCTCGGCGGACAAGCTCCGTCCCGGTTGAGCTGCCATCGGAAGGCTGGCCAGGGGCCCCGTCTCGGAGAGGGCCGGGGACATCAGACGAACGCTAGCGCCGATCTCTGGGCGAGCCCTGGGCGCGATCTCGTACGGAGGGGGGAACGCTGCACGACGTCGCAGACAGACAACGGCAGGGACCACTCCGGCATAGACTCTCCTCCAAAGGCCCACCGCCGCAATGCCGATGTGGCTCCCCTTTTCCCTATCATGCTAGAGGCCCAAGCACAGCACGAAGAGGTTTGTGGGAGGACGTCCTCTGCCACGAATCGCAAAACAATGCGGCGGAGCGGTGTCGGTGCATGACTGGTGTTCTGGTGTCTCTTTTGCTTCTTTCGAACCCTCCTCTCTCGAGCAGCGGGGAACCAGGCTCGCTCGGAAATTTCTCCGTGATGCTTGCAATGCTTGTCGAAGAAGCGACGACCTGGTCGGTTTCAGCAAACTCAATTGGGAATGCTTGGCCCGGTGTCACGGCAGTTTTGGGTGGCCATGTTCGAACTTGTCAGATTGACGATTCCGTGCTTTTCGCGGATGCTGCCACGTCGATTGCCTGCAGATTGCGCATTGAAGTTCGCCGGTTTTCTCGGTCTCGAGGCCTGAGTGATCCCAGTGGGACGGACCGCACACTGACCTCCTGCGCAATGCCTCGGATCATATATCGACCACTTGAATCGATGTCTTTTGGAATAACTGAGAGAAACCCCTCGTCAGTAACGATCGGGTACTCGTGCCTGTTTGCAGATATGTTTCTGCTGGAGCCGTGATGTTGTGGGGAGCAAACACAGGAAACGCGTCCAGACGCGTCGAAGTTGTTGTTGTCGGACTGTTACGGTGATCATTCATGCCTCCATAGGGGGCCAAGGTGAATCGATCTATCTATTGGCTCTCATGTGGTCTGTGATCATGCAGCCCACGCACCTGGGATCTGACGGCATGACAGATGGAACACCGTGTTTTGTTAGCCTTGCAATCAACGGTCGAGGCAAGTCTCGTTCATGCCCGTTCGCGATGCCAACGCAAGTTGGCAGTGTCAGCTTTATGAGCTGTTGAAAGCCTTCATGTTTCGACCTTCCAAACAAGTTGGTGACACTCGAGCGACCAGCCGTCCGTGCAAGAAGAAAGGTCAGCTTTGCAGTTCAACTAGTTGTTAGCAATAGCGTGAAGTGAAGTGAAGTGGCAATTCGATAGTGATACGCTGCAAAGCCACACGTGCGAGCTGGCGAGCTGTCAGTGACCTATCTCCACATCTGGCGTGGCATGTATTTGTGCCACAGGCACACGGACGATGCCAGAAGCACATCTCGCCTATCATTTGTGTCGTCTACCTCTTGCGACGATCTTGCGTGTTATCCAGGAAGGGTCCAGCAGAGAAAACGACGAGAAGACTGCCCGTCCAAGGGCTCCTGGCAAGCGAGCTCTTGCCTAGCAAGGCCTAAGATAGGGGGAGGGGCGCACCAGGGGAGACGGCCGGGGGGCTTCAGCTTCGAATGTTCGACCGTCCTTCTGGAACAATTCACCAGACAGGCAGTTGAGATTCTGGCAACGGAGGCAACGGACCCCGGGCAACGCCTTTGAGCAGTCCCGTAGCGGTCTCACGAATTTCAATGACCATGGGCGGCGGGTCGACAACCAGGCAGGCCGTAGTGGATGCTACTGCGCGCGATGACTATCGTTGGCCCTTGTGGCTGAGTCAGTAGCAGAATTGTTTGAATCGTCGGGACCCGAAGCCAGTGAACTGCAAAACGACGATCTCCCACCAACAGCGCACGGAGCCCTGAGAATGCTTCTCGTCATCGTCTCACTGTTTGTTCTGTTCTCCTTTATGCGGCAACAGTCCCGTTAGAGAGTAACGTCCGTTGTGTTCCGTCTTCCCCAGGGTCTTTTTTGGTCGGCACTCTGCGGAGGAAGCCCAGCGGCCGTGGTCCAGGGTTCTAGTCTGACAGTTGTTGAACGGGGCCGGACCCGGACCGGGACTAGGACTGGACACCGACCAGAACCACAGGCGGGAAGAGAAAAGATCAGATGGAAGAAGCTCGACGGAGGCCACCACGGGAGGATGACCAAGTGGACTCTCGACCGAGGCGTGAGAGGCGTAAAAAAACAGGGGAAACCTCAACGAAGTTAGAACAAGACCCATCTGCTCCCTTTGCCTGTCCTGAGTCCTGAGGTGCTCTGGAAGTGGCCCCCGACTAACCCAACGAGGTATTCCATCGGCGATCTTTGGCCATCCCTATTTCAGTCAAGCTCCTGTGGAATTGTCCAATGATGAATGTTGTTTTATGAAGATCCTGGTGAGCGTCGAGAGACTGGTAGGGTTAGCCGCAAAACCCCTGCGAAGCTGCAAGGTACCGACACCAACGCTCAGGGGTAAAAGCGGGCCTCGTTGAAGACAACCTGGAACCTTGACACCGGCTGGCTTCGAGACAGTTTCGTTCGTTCCTCCAACACTGTGCTGACCGTCGCGCGTTGTGCAGATCCACGAGACTTATTGTGGAAAACGGAGCCGATCCGTCATGCGCAACGGATACAGGTGACTTTCATTGCTCAACGAGGAGTCTGCTCCGATGCCCGTAGACTTGTTGGTGTGGCGTCGATAGAGGCATAAAATCGCACAGCGCGGCTCGTTTGTACATGGCAAACATGGTCAGAACAGCCTCCTGTTGCTCCTCGACGACGAAGAGGTTCCCATGTGTGTTGTCTGGTTGAATAGTCGGCCTTCTGAGTCGGCCGGGGCTGCACATCTTAAAAGGAAATATGCCCATGGAGACAACTGGGCAGCTACGGCGGTGAAGTCATGATTGCCCTTTCGAAACGTCCTAACGATGTGTTGGTGTTGCTATTTCGGGTGGTTTGAAGTTTCCTGTGGCCGCCTAGAATGCCCAGCTTGGCCTTAGCGGCGCATCGAGGCGTGCGCGAAAGGAATGTCCCGTCTGCAGGTACGGATACATGGGAAGACGGAGTCGGCGACAACGGGCTTCTGCGGAGCGCTTAATCGCCAAAGAGTTTGGACTCATTCTATCGTCCATAGCCGCTAGTTCCGTGAAGCTAATAGATATGCCTGGCTGCGGTCGGACCAAGAAGCCTAGGCAGAGAAAGCTCACGTTTTCTCAGATGCCACCGCTGCCACTGACAAGCGCTCTGAGTAACTGCGCCGGATTGGCGATGAAGGACTGTTTGCCTCGACAGACCGGTGCTGAGGCCGATCCCCGGCGATTTTGTGGGATGTTTTTTTGTATGGGGCCGGGTTGAACGATGAAAGGTGGTTAGCGCCGTGTCACAGTGTCTCTGGCGCATGTGGGACTCTGATGGTGTCTGGGTTTGCATGACGCTGCTGCAGGTACGAGGTCAGAGGTGCTGCAGTTGCACTCTCCACCAGCCTGGCCGAGGAGCACACTTCCTTGGAGGACGATTAAGGCAACTTGAAGCCACGGCCTGCCGACGGAAGATACGGGAGCAACGGAGGGAGAAAAGGCGCGAATTCCACGACCGGCTGGAAGTTTTAGCTCAGGTACGGCTGTACGACAAACCATGGGCGCGGAGCTCAGCTGTATTGGGCTTGGGATGTTTGTTGGAACGCTTCGCAGTGTGTAACACGTCTTCGAGCGTGTAAAGCGATCTTTGTAACGTCCTACGGGATCTTGTCTGAGACATCCCTTTCGTCCTCGAGCGGCCAGGAGGAATGGCGAGACGATCAGTCGGGCGCGTTGTTATTCGCATCCCGGCGGAGGTACGTTTCCAAACTGCAGATTCGGCGTCCAAGGGAGTCGAAAGGCATTCGCATGCAGTTTATCCGCAACAAAAAGTCATCGTCCCGCGTTCGTATGTAAAGATGCCCAGCGACCCCATCGCATCCCTTGAGAGGAATGGTTGGGCGTGATGCTTTCGCAGGCGGAGTGGATGGACAAGGCTCGGACGTGAGGTCGGCGGGTGCAGTGCCGCTTGAGGCGGGCCAGGTCGGCTTGGCGTGACCCCTTTTCCCCGACATG